AAGTTAGTTATGTTTCTGGATAAAGTTATGGATAGAGTTGTGGATAAAGTCACGGTTGTGGATATTACGCAATAGTGGTGGTGGGTATGTTATGTACGCGATTGAACTTCAGTCCACAGCGAATTCACCCACGTTCCCATTCATGCAATGCCATGCAATTGCAGAGTAGACTCGAAGGAGGCAAATCCACACAAAACCGGAGAGAAGATATGCACCGAGGAAGCTTAAAATAGAAATGAGAGAATTGAAAAACGAACGAATTTCAGTTCTTATTCATCCCCCGTCCTCCTCCAACAATCCGGAATACTTTTTCCAAGAATCACAACCGCGTTGCCAACAACCCTGAACAACCAAAAACGAACCCTGAACAACCAAAAACGAATGTTCCACGAAGTATCCAGGAGTCTTCTTCTTTCTCCTCGCCACGTCATCACCCTTGCTATGGCTGCTGTAGCAGCAGTAAACCCACAGCTGTCACAACGTGCCAATCGTGAACCACCAACCCCAATGATAGCAGCGCGCCAGCTCAGCGCCCGCACGGAAGGGCAGCGCTGGAAGTCCTGATGAAGAAGGAGACAACCGATCCACCACTTTGAAGAAGATGAAGCTCCTCGTGAGGAGGAACAGCAGATATGGCTGCCAAGTGGACAATGGCACCGCCCAAATCCAACAACACAGTCCTGTGGAAGCTCTGATGCAGAGCTGCGGAATAGCAGCAGTTCGGTCTTTAACTTTGTGTCCCAACCCCAGCTATGGCTGGGCTTCCAGGAAGAAGATGACCTCGCCTCGCCCAAAATAGCACAGCTGCACAGCTGCAGCGCTCAACAACGGACGGGCGGAGTTAAGACCCGGCGAAACTAATTTCCTGCCCGCTACTTCTACTCACGGACTAGACCTGCGACAGACTCCTAAGACAGCAGCCTAGGACTCCTGTGTCTGGCCAGAATAGGGGGAAAAAGGGGCCCCAAACTATAACAAGGCAAAAGGGAACAGGCTGAATGGCCTAAGGCTACCACACAGAGACCGCTGGTGACAGATTCAGTGATCAAGCCCAATAGGGCTCAAGACTGACAAACAAAACGTACGAGTTACAGGTCACGGGAGCGAGTCCCGCAAGGCTCAGAAGAAGAAAACAGCAAGCAAACTTAGTGTACACCCGCTGTTACCTGCAAGTTCATTGCAGATAAAATATGACTGGGTGTTCTATTTGGGGATTTTTGGGGGGGCTGAATCTGCGGGGTCGGATTTCGTTCAATGGAAAAAAAGGCTCCATTTTTGACAAAATGGCAGTTGATAAGCCATAGGGCCTCGCTGCATGGGCGTTGTAACTGTCCATGTTCTAGCGCAAAATTCACTCTCATTTTGCACATATGGGGAGCGTGGGCAGCGACGCCCATGGTGCTGGATAAATTTTGTTTGTGGAGAATGTTCTGGATAAACTTTATTATGATTGTGGATGAAGTTATTGTGATTATGGACAAACCATAACTTTATCCAGAACTTTCTCCACAAACATAATTACTTGTAGTATTTTAAACCATTGTCTATGGATAAGCATACTTGCGGTGCATACGTGAGGTGTGCTGCACAGTGCGTGCACTGATCGCAGATGCACGGAAGGGAAAAAAAAAACAAAAAACAAACAAACAAACCGCGATGCGTGTATACATGCTGGAGAGATAGATAGATAGATAGATAGATAGATAGATAGATAGATAGATAGAGATAGAGATAGATAGATAGATAGATAGATAGATAGAGAGAGAGAGAGAGAGAGAGAGAGAGAGAGAGAGAGAGAGAGAGAGCAAAGAGCCCTTTCACATTATTTTTTCAGAAGACCCCTGCCCGTACTTCATAAGGTCCCTGCCAAAACTTAGCAAGGATCTTGTCAGCAGGAGAAGAATAGTCGCTGGGCGTGTAGTAAGGAGGGAGCAGGCCAGCTATATATGCTGTAGCTTCAAATTCAGGTCCGTGTTTTCGAATTCAGGTACGTGTTTCAGCAGTTATGAATTACTGACGGACTAACTCGGCATGTGATTTTCAGGGCTTCACTCCACTACTCACCAAATGTGCAAAACTAGAATGCATCTGCTCCTAGAAACTGGAACCATACATGCCATATGTTTTTCTTTTGTGCAAGTGCTGATGAGTGGAGCGAGGCCCTTAGGGCCACTGCACGTACGAAAAGGAAAAACAAAAGAAACCGAGACAGCTACTGTAGTGTTTGGAGTAAGTTCGTAACCCATAACTCTTGGAACACAGACCTGAATTTGAATCCAGAATATGTTGCTGGCCTGCTCGTGTTCCTCAAGGAGTTCAATGAACGTCCTTCCAAATGAATGGGATCCCTGCTAATTCATTGCAGGGGACCTTTTGGAAAAGAGACTTAATCCAATGAGGAGTACGATGTGGGCCCAATTTTTTTTTTTTTTTTTTTTCCCCGTGATTTTCAAAAGGGAGGCACACATTTGGTTACCAGTCTTCCCTTTTGATTTTTTTATTATTTTCTTTTAATTCGTAATTGCGCCGCATTACGTGTGCGCGTGCGCTATGCGGTGCACATGCGCAACTTGCACGCACGTGATGCACCGCATGTGTGGGGGATAAAGTTATGGATAAAGGTGTTTTTCCTTTTCTTCTACTTCTTTTTCCACGGATCGGATAGTAAGTTGTTATTAACTGATCCGAACAGATACTACACTTGATCTACTTAGCCAAAAGGCTGAGAAAGGTATATACTATCCTATAAAGTTATGAATAATGCTATGAATAATGTTATGAATAATGTTATGGATAATGTCATGGAAAAGTTATGGATAATGTTATGGATAAAGTTAAGGATAATGTTATGGATAATGTTATGGATAACGTTATGGATAATGTTATGGATAATGTTATGGATAACGTTATGGATAAACCATAACTTTAAACCATACTTGCGGCGCACGTCGTGTGCGGCACTTGCGCACGTGCGCCGCATAGCGCAGCGCGCGCACGCCGCATGGCCAAAAACAAGGGTCGAGGGGAAAAAAACAAATTGGGGGGAGTGGTGCAAGTGAGAGGGGGGGTTCTCGGAAAATTGCAACCGGGCCCGCGAAATTTTTTTTCGGGGCCGTGCCAAGGCCCGGAAAAAAACTTTCGCCCAACGTTCGAATTCCAGCGCTGGGTGAGCCAACCTCCCGGCAAGGCCGCCAGACAGTCCATTCGGGTGTCCACCACGTCGTCTCGCGCCGCCGTCGTAACGCCTTGGCCGTCGTCGTTGAAGACCTCAATCCCCCTCCATCGTCGGCCACGGCAAGGCCGGCCATCCTTCATAGCAGCAGCGAGCGGGAGCAGGGGTGGTCACCAGCAAGCATTGCCAAGGTTGGTGCTCTCTCTCTCTCTCTCTCTCTCTCTCACACACACACACACACACACACATCCTTGTGCAGCGGCCATGTAGTCATCTCCGCATCGTTCCGATTCGTTAGGTGGTGAAGGCTCTCTCTCTCTCTCTCACATCCTTGCGCAGCGGCCATGTAATCTTCTCCGTGTCGTTCCGATTCGTTAGGTGGTGAAGGCTCTCTCTCTCTCTCTCTCTCTCTCTCTCTCTCTCTCTCTCTCAT